ATAAGACGCAGAGAAGTTTAGAATTATTGATTTTGACTGCATGATCTTGGTAATACGGATATTTAACGCAATTTTTTCAACCTCTGAACCGTGGCTCGTTTCTCATTTAAAACAATCACATGCACAGTTGAAACTGGTGCTGGAAAGAGAACTGCAGCTTTTAATGGACGCTACATTTAGTACAAAATGGTTTGTTCAGACAATCAAAGTTTGAAAAATAATAGAGTATTTCTAAATCATGGCTAAAGGTGATATTGGACCATTTTTGATGGCACACTAACGCACCACGGTCCACTGGTTGAAAACACGGATGTAGAAACATTTTATGAAATCTTTTATGACATGTTTCTCTTCCAAAGAGAGCATTAGAAACAATTAGGACAATTATGTCTTTGATACAACTGTTGGCAGTTTATCTGAGACGTGATTGGTGCAAGTACGTTAGTACACGTACAATAATAGTCCTTTCTCCACATGAACGTAAAACAAAGGTGAAGTATTAAAGTTTGAAACTAATTTACATTTTTAATGAATCCGAACTGGCTTTACTAAAAAAAAAGGGTAAAAACATTTATAGCACGTGCACGACTTTTAAAGTAACAAGAGCTCATTAAAAATATAGGGGACACAGTCTGTGAGAAGCCCGAGTAAAGACCACGTGGTTTAAACACTAAAGTTTGAAATGGATCCTTTTAGGAAAAATCTCTTAAAGCTCTGCATGTTCTGCAGGCTCTGAAAGTTGCAACAATAAAAAAGCTCATGAGACAATTGTAATTGGACATGGAAAAATATAACAAAGTTAAAATTACAGGCCTCCTGTGTTGTCTATATGTTTGTGTGTGTTATATGTTTGTGTATGTTATATGTTTGTGCGTCATGTCAAGTACACTACGATGACCTTAACAAACTCTGGACCAATATACTAACGTGGGGTGTTGTGAGTGTGTTGTGAAATGAGGAGTGAACGAGGAGTGCTGGACGGATCATGGAATAACAAAGTTTTTTCTGTAATGTTTTAATGTGATCATGGAATAATTATTTTTCGTCAACAGCATACGGTGTAAGTACTAGAGATTCAAAGATAACAAGCTTTATTGAACAGGTGTAAAAGTGAGAGTACTCTGGGATGAGTACTCTGAGGAAGTACTCTGCGGAAAGTACTCTGAGATGAATACCTTGCTGAAGGTACTGGGAGTCCCTCCCTCTGCTGTTTGTCCTGACAGTGATTCGGTCCAACCGCAGTGAGCGGTCATTGGGCGGAGGACAACTTTGGTTTGTAACTCACATATAGTGGAGTATAAAATTAGAAACATACATATTGTTAAGTCTGTATTTGGCTACAGCCTCTGCCCTGATGTCACACGACCGTCTGTCAATGCAGTTATGTTTTGCCCAATTGGAAAAGATTGACAGGCTGCACAATGCGAAGAGAGGGAAGTGGGCATTTCTTGTGTTCTAATGTTTCTTTTTCAGATAAAAGATAAACTACCCCTGCTTCAGGGATAACACAGTAGTATGGATCATGAGGAAATGAGCCTCTACTTTGGCACCAAAGCCCACAATACGAATTGAGGACGATCCGGGAGAAACAACTGGAGATAATTGGAACAGTAATCTACACACACACACAGACACATGTTTTACACTTGGCCCACGACCAAGAGAGGGAGTATTGTAATGTTATTGTCATTAGGTGGTCATGGTCCTTAACCTTCTAAATCATTAGAAAGAAGTGTAAAACATATATTTACAAGAACAAATAAATAATAGAAAGGGCAGCCTAAAAGCAAAATGGGAAAATTATTAAATAATTTTCGGAGTTGCCAAAATAAAATAAAATTATTTATTTGTCCCATAGGGGGTCATTCTAAATTTAGTGTTGTGCAAATTCAAAAGGAGAAATAATAGCGCTTATAACATCAAACAGATCTACTCTTTAAGATAATAGATCATATAATAATAATAATAGAATAGAATGAAATAGTCTGGAGCTATAATGTAATTGGATTTAAGGAGCTATAGGTTAAAATGTCGCAAGAAGAGGTGTCAGAATAAACAATAGTAATAATAGTTAGACTAGTGAATAATCAAAATAGTTCTATTGTGGAAATAAGTATCAATAAGGTCAAATTGTTCTAATAACTAAAGTAAAAAGGAATCAAATGGAGTCATATTTTAGATGCTCCTGTTTTCCACATCTGTAGGATCTAGTGCAGATAGATATAGATGTTTATAGAGAGTAGTATTAAAATGCAGACATAGAACAACAGGCTTTAACAATTTTTTAATCTAAAAATAGCTCAAATATAACATTGCTCTTGACACAGCCTCTGAGCTGCCCCATTGGAGAACAGGTTAAATGTTATTGTTTATTACAAACAGCTGATGTATTCACACATATAAAGTTTGGGACAACTCTTTAAACAGTTATAAGCAGCGGACAGAAGCCATGAATGTGCTTTTGTTTATTAAATAATTAATTTCATAGCCATATAATCGTAGAGAACGTTTTTAAAATAGTTCTCTTCTTCCCGCTCCCTTTCAGGCAACTTGATTAGATTCATGTCTTTAATATTGGAGAACGACTGTGTTGTTTTTGGAATTGTCTGAAATACAATACATAAAATAGTGATTTGCAGAACAAGAACCAGCCAATGAAAAATCATCTATTGCCAATGCTATTGATACAACTAAAACCGCAACTGTTAAAATGGTTTAAAAAGACAAATTATGAGTATTTCAGCGTTTTGGTAGATGTTAAAGGAATAGTTCACCGTTTGTACATACTGACATATGTTCTTACCTTACCTTAGACTAGTTAATACGTACCTGTCTGGTCTTAGTCCGTGCGCTCTGTCATGCAAACGGAGCAAAAACGGGAGCACAACCGCAGCCTCCTCTGTATACTGTATAGTACCCAAAAGGTAGCTCCCGCTAGAAGCTACCAAACTCTTCCAAGTGTTCCCTATTAAATGTATATAGTTACGTGACGTGTTACACTGCAAAGTATAGTAACACAGAAATGTAACAGTCGATTTTCTCAGCGGATAAAACGGGTACTATATTGTGAGGCGTAGTAATCTGAGGTGCGCTACGTCCGCGCACTAACTTCTCTCCGGAGACTTCTCTCTCGCTCACTTCCGTCAATAGAAGCAGCGTGACTTGTAATACACACAGTAGCAGCGAGAGAGAAGTCTCTGGAGAGAAGTTAGTGCGCGGACGTAGCGCTCCTAACTTCTCTGCGCACTAACTTCTCTCCGGAGACTTCTCTCTCGCTGCTACTGTGTGTACTACAAGTCACGCTGCTTCTATTGACGGAAGTGAGCGAGAGAGAAGTCTCCGGAGAGAAGTTAGTGCGCGGACGTAGCGCACCTCAGATTACTACGCCTCACAATATAGTACCCGTTTTATCCGCTGAGAAAATCGACTGTTACATTTCTGTGTTACTATACTTTGCAGTGTAACACGTCACGTAACTATATACATTTAATAGGGAACACTTGGAAGAGTTTGGTAGCTTCTAGCGGGAGCTACCTTTTGGTGCTACAAAATATACAGAGGAGGCTGCGGTTGTGCTCCCGTTTTTGCTCCGTTTGCATGACAGAGCGCACGGACTAAGACCAGACAGGTACGTATTAACTAGTCTAAGGTAAGGTAAGAACATATGTCAGTATGTAAAAACGGTGAACTATTCCTTTAAATAGTAGGAAAAAAGTAGAATTTGATCATTGTTTATAAACACACTTCAGCGTAAGAGTTAAAATGGTACCATACAATGTGATCCTTCTGATAGAGCAGCTAAACTGTTAGAATCAGAATTATTTTACAGCCATTGAAAGTGACAGAAGTCACAAATTGGAAATATGCTTTGGCTCAAGCTACAACCGAGCTTTGGAGTCACAATAGAGTAGAAATAGATAGATGCTTTCAAAAATAGAGATTATTTTCAGCCAGGGCTAATATCAAACGGTAAAAGGACCATTTCCTTCATAATATGTCCAAAAGTATTTACTTCAAAAGTAGATAAAGTTCATTACAGTTCATGCACAGTTCTATTAGATACTTGTCAAATTCACTTGTTTCAAACATAGGTGAATGTTGACAATGCAAAAGTTCATGAGTGTAGCTTAGATTAATGAGATAGATTAATGAAATAGATTAGAACCAACACAGATTCAAAAACATTTAAAAGCATTTTAATGTATTTGGGTATAGCACAAAAGTAGATATTTAGGTATTTTTGAGAATAATGGCTCAGAAAATGGTGGATTACTTTCCAATGTTGCGTGATCCTGACCCACAAATGCCATACGTGAGTCTCCAGTAACCATTTATTTTCTATAAACAGACATTATTATTTTTGTTTTTGCAGTTGACTATCTACTGTAAAATGTTTAAGCGACTTCAAAATATGAGGTCTCCAAGGAAGAGGCAAGGTTCTGTTCCACAACGAGGGAAGGCAAAGAAGTCTCTATTTGACTCGGACAACACTGATGCAGATGGCACTACACATTCTTTTGACTCTGATTGTACCATACCTCTTGAGAGCCACAATGATCTCAGCGATGACAACCAAAGTGGTAAATACTTGTTTTAAAAAATTAGTAATATTTCTATGTTGTTAATTATGTATTTGCACATTCTTCCAGCCAAGTGTTTCTCGCCAGAGAGATCCTCTACCCCTTG